GGTACTTTCTGATTACTTTGTCACTGGTAATTAGTAGAGCCTTGGGTTTATGTTATAGTGGAATAGCTAGAAAGAGCATGCCAAAATGTCTGTTATATCTAACAAGTGATAATACTATTCATATTGGTTTTTATTTAGTATTAATACCATATATGCTTAATTGAGGTATGGAAGATAGCTGTGACTCGAGGTTTTTTATTTATTTCATTGGATCCTAAAATCAAGATTATTAACTCACAGTTTCATTTTGATTTAGCTTCTGAATAGCTATTTATTGTTGTTAACTTTTTCAGATGTGTGAAAAAGGATCGTACTTTTTGGCTGATTTCATTATTCCATCTCTAGACTACAAACAATTCTCTAGTCTGAGTTGCATAGATAGAAATGAGGAACTTTACAAGGTCATATGGTCCCACAAAGGATCACACTCCTGGAGAGAAAATGACTTTAATATCTTCGGAGTAACCATTTTAGCAGTTCAAATGCTCCAAATAGTGGGACTTCTTAAGTGTTAATTCTAATATCGTAATAATCTGAAATAGTTAAACCATTGTGTTCATTTTACATAAGCCCAATACAACCAACATACACAAGTCACTTAAGACCAGGGCTGTACCTAATGAGCTACCATGGCTTAAATGCCCAAGGAGCTCACCTTCCACCCACTTTATTACATTCCCCTATCCCTCCTCAATCTTTGTCCTATTTAATTTCATACAACACATAACACATCGTCTTTATTTCAATGTATTTATTATATTGTGTGTGTTTGGCTGTAAACTCTAAGCACAAAACTGTCCAACCAGTGGATCATAATATGTGTAGTGTATACTTCCATAGAGTAGATTTATTACTTTTATAAATTTGGTTAGTAATCTGAGAGACGTGATTAAAATTGTTTGTAATAACTGTTGTCCCTGAAATGTTATATTTAGTAATTTATTGGAAAGTTTTCATTATATTTCTTCTGTTATCTGAATGTGCGCCAGTCTGGTATGGTATGAAATAACATAATCCACATTTTATTAAAATTATTTTTATGTAAAATGTTACTTGGTCCAGAGCTAATTTATAGAAAATTTTTAAGAATTCGTTTTATAAGGTTTTTCAAGAAAAAGAAAAACATTATGGAAGCTCACATGAGAAACAAAGAAAGTTACATATGAATTGAGTATAAAGCTTCATTATTTGAAAATTAATATTCAACACTCTCAGTGTGAAATGAAGACTTATAGTGGTGAGCTTAAAGTGAAATTGTAACAGATTGTATCGTAATAACAGAGTAGAGAAGAATAATTCGTCTTGTCAAATTGTGTTCTAAAGTAATTAACCAGTCTGTACGAACTTTGATGAAAAAGAGACAATGATTTAAAGCTCCGAATACAACTGTGATAACAAACAGTGTAATGAACATTAGTATATACATTTCATTTGTTTTAAGATATTATTTTTAAACAAGTGAACTGTGTTGCTATTTGTTTATTGCTGACATTTGTCATCAACAAGTCACAAACACCTACTATAAAGAATCTGGTCCATGCAAAAAAACCTAACGTTAGTCAAATATTTATTTTATTTTCACCAAACTAATCCCATGTCTGGAATCAGTATTGTAATCTTGTTTGTTTTTCAGTGGTTTCTGTTGGATTATTTGTTTAAAATAATGCAAGATTCAGTCAATGCAACAATAAATCAACATTTCTTCCTTAACGACCTAACTTCAAGTGCAAACTTTTCAAAATTCAATAAAAACTTGCAAACTATACTGTAGCCCTAATTTAATAATAACACTTCATTGATTGATAATAAAGGGTGACTAACCTACTGATTAGTTTACAGAAGCACTAACTTCTTTACTCGATTGTCAAATACTCGAACATTATTACTGGATTATTTGTCTTTATGCTGTATCAAGTGTTAGCTGGGGTTAACCTGCGATGGAATGGCATCTCGTCCAGATGAATGTGGAATGTGTTACCATTCTTATCCAGTTGAGCCTGTACTATCTCTACATGGGAGGGATTTGACCTTGACTTCACTCCTACCAAGTTGGAAGTTTCCTTTTACTAGGACTACTTTTCTGAGCTTTCCCGATCTTAATGTCATGCGCTCTCTAACAAGCATCTAAAATAAAACATTGAGAATATAGCTTACAGCAATATTTTATTAACATTATCTTTTCTTTAGCTTATGCTCCTAATTATTTTCCTCATATTGATATATTTTCAAACTACTTGAACATTCTTGTTACATTAAATTCTCACAGTGGTTGGTTTGCTGTGGGAAATGTTGAGTTTTCTATAACTCTTTTACCAGATCTGATGGAAGAGCTATTTAAGCATGGATCCTAGTCTTATTGGTATCCTTGGAAATGAACGAACTATCAAGATTTCAAAAGCGTCATTATCTTTTGATTGGCTCTCGATAGCCATTCCATTAGTTCTTACTGTTACGACAGCGGAAGTCATGACGCTGGAAGCATGCGCGCTGGAGTTTCTAGAAGGATCATGACTGTTCCTGACAACTGTAGTCTTTTTCTAGGCGCCCTTTATTTTAGTACATAAGCCCGGCAAATAAAGTGGAGATGATAGTGGCTGATAGATGGAGATAGAGACAGATAATTGAGTCAAGTGAGCGGTAGTGACCCTAAGTAAAGTGCGTGAATCGTTGTGAATTATAGCGTGTGTTAAAGTTAAAGTGACTGTGGAAATTCTATGTATTATAAAGTTGTATCGAGAAATAATAAACTAGTTTTAATTAAGAAAGGACTTGTATCGCTGAAGTTTCTCGCAAAGAATTTTTACGGTAAATTATCAAACAAGCAGATACGTAACATTACTTTTGAAATCTGTTCTATAAAAAACTCTTATCCTCTTAGTCATAAAATTGCTGAAATTAAATAAGAGGGACGACACGTTTATCATTTGTTCCTCACGACACGACTAAAGTTTGTATTGTTCTTAAGAATATATATCAGTATGTGGCTGTTACACGGTTATGCCTTGGTTTCTTGTCATTTCAATTATGCTTGATTTCTCTGACTTATGTTTCTTTCGTATCCAGCTTATGCTAAAAAATGCTCATGCAATTAACTCTGACTTACTTATATTTTTCGTTAACTGTCTTGTTGAGAGAACTTCGTTTCCCTTTAAATTTCGTTCCTAGTGTTACAATAATGCTGTTCTTCAGTTTATTACCCCCCCCCCCCAGTGGCACAGCGATATATCCGCGGACTTCCAACGCTAGAAACTGGGTTTCGATACCCGTGGTGGGCAGAGCGCAGATAGTCCATTGTGTAGCATTATGCTTAACTACAGTTTCTTAAATCTGCCTCTTTGATCAGACGTATTTACTATTCAATATAGATCCCCCCCTCCTTCGCCTCCCCGGTTTCTCAGCAGTAAGTCTCAGGGATTTACAGCGCTAAAATTCTGGTTTCGATACCCGCGATGGGCAGATTATAGATACTCTATTATATAGCTTTGCCCTAAACAACAAACAAACAACCAAACCTTCCTACTCCTCTGCAAGTTAGCTAATCACTTGTTTATGTATGTTTCTTGGCGCATATGAATCCAATACGATTTGAAAACATCAAAAAGAAAAAAGAAGCTTTTCCCACGTGTAGTTCTACCAAAAAAAAAAAAAAAGAAAGAAAGAAATTAGAAGATGAAGAATAGTATTATTATTTTTACTAAACACGAAACGTATTCCTGTTTAAACAACTAAACACAAAAATTTCATTGGCTGATTTAATTTATAAATACAACACCTCCTGTAGGATCTTTCAGATTCTGTTGTTAATAGAAGACGAGGAAGAGACGAAATGGCTTACGCTGTGAGGTTAGTGAAAAATTATTCCACATTGTTATTAGTAATAGATAACGTATATTTATTCTATGGTGATTTTATGCTCATCATAACAGTTTCAATATTCAGTGTTTTAGTTGTTTTTTTTATTGAGGCTTTGACTTTCAAGTTTGAATGAGACTAAGATTCACCACAATGTAATATGGTATGGGTAAGACCTACCATAACGGCATAAGTGCATATTGCCATTATTGGTATTGGCAGTGGTAGGTTCTAACCTACTAGTAGTACTATTTATGTAGTGGTGTGATATGGTTATCGTTTGCTCGCTATGATCTAGACTGTAGTTTGAATTTTGAACACAGTGATGTTAAATTTGAGCAGTGTTTACTGCTAATAATACTAATAGTGCTTTACTCATCAGCCCTACTACTTGTACTTATCGAGAAAAGGAGTGGCTCAAGTAAAAACCAAGTTTGTTCACAAAGGGTATAAAGAATAAAATTAAAGAAAAGCATTATAGATATAAGAAGTTTACATTGACTGCTATGATGGGACATTTAGAAAATTATAGAAGATCAAGAGAGTTGGTAAAATTAAAAACTGAAAAACTAAGTGGAAAAAGTTTAAGTTTGGCTGAAATTGTAAAAATTAATAGTAAGGATTTCTTTAATTAAATACATTAAGGGTAAGCAAAGTATTAAGATATGGGTAGGGCCTTTGAGAGGTAATGCAGTAAGGCTCTTATCTGATGGTTGAGGTGGTTGGATTATTGAATTTTACTTTTTCTTAAATTTTTATCAATGAAGATTAAAGTAATCTCGAAATAAATCATTTTGTTCCCACTTACCAACTGTTTAGGATGAGGATTAAAAAAACCTTGGAAGTTTGAAGAATAATGAAGCTCCTGGTCCAAGTAATATTATCTTAAGAGTTTTGAAGAAGGTTAAAGATTAGATATGTGAGCCACTTTTGCTACAATGTTTTGTAAGTCCATGAATAGTAGGCAGGTTCCAGAAGATTGTAATTTGGCTAATGCTACTCTTCTTTTCAAGGGATGTGATTAAAAACTTTTTCCACCACTGACATAAAACTAATAGGTCTACAATTACTTGGATAATTTTTATTTCTGATAAAAGATGCTGTGCAAAGTCATTTAACAAAAATATAGAATTTTTGTGTGATGGTTAACCTGGTTTCAGTAAGGGAAAATCTTGTCTTATTACTCTTTTGACATTCTTTGAAGAGGTTACTGCATTTGATAAGGTGCCACACAAAAGACTTGTCAAAATGTTATCTTTTTAGGTGTGGAAGGATAAGCTGTTCATTTAATAGAAAATTGACTGTATAGAAGAAAGCAGAAGTTTCGTATACCCAGAGTTCAGTAAAACTGGATTAATAATACGATTGGGGTACCTCAGGGCTCAGTTTTAAGACCTTTACTTTTTTTTATTTACATAAATTACACAGATGAAGTATTGGTCAATAAATTGTTATCAGTTTGCTGATAATATTTTGGCTATTGCTGGTTATGAGGAAGATGCTGCAGCTTTACAAAAAGATTCAGATTATATGGTGACTTGGGTGAATAAATGGTAGATGGCTTTTAGTTATAATAAATGCAAAACATGAAACCATGTGAAGAAGGACCTACAGTGTCCAGTTGCCTTTATTTTATTTACTTTTTCTTCTTACTGCACAGTCATCACTGTAATGATAATAAAATTCTGAGTAAGGCTGACAGTTTATTTTGTTGCTCAGCCTCGGAACTTCTAGATTTAGTGAATTAGCAAGAACCTAGTACTAAAAGTGAAAGTGAGATACAGTATGTTAGTTTTGGTATGATTATTACTTCATAATTTTTGTTAAGCAATTAGCTAGAAGGAAGATTGTGAACAGAGTTATTTAGTTTATAGCTGCTTTGATTTTTAGAGCAATAAGGTTATTTTCACCTTGTATAAATCTGGTAAAACCTATAAAAAGGATATTTAAGATGCTGGACAGGATGTTGAGAATAATGGCTATTTATAAGAAATTTGAGCAATGGAATTAAGATTTAGACTTATTTTCTGTGGAATGTAAAATGTAATTTGGCTGTTTTAATTTGTAAAGAGATCAGGTAAACTGTGGGGAATTGTAGTGGTACATTGTAAAATAATTAGATTGTAAGTTTTTGTTACTGCATATAATAAGCCTTGGAAGCTGAGACTTATGATTGTTTTAAACAAAAGTACTATGTTTGAGTTAAAAATTCTTGTCCCCCTAGTGGCATTCTTTGCCTTTTTTAAATATCCAGGTGGCAAATTCTTTCTTTTGATGCTAGATTTGAAGCATTAAGGTAAGACAATACCTCAATTTCATATTATTTTTTTTTTTTACCCAAATACAGTTTAGTTACTAAGCTTGATAAATTATAGTGGAATTCTAGGGTATTGATATAGTAACTTATGATTTTTGGTTATTTCAATATATATAACCTAAAAGAAATTTTACCATTTCACATCCTCCACATGTGAAATTTGATAAGGCTTGGAGACCTGCAGCAAACAAGTACAAAATTTGTGACTAGAAGAGATAATTGTTTGCTACTATACTTTACTGTTCTATGTTAAAGAAAAATAACATCAATTTAAGAACTTGTTTGTAAATAGTAATAATGTATTTGTATATATAATGTATTATAACCAAAATGTGACTGTATTTTACAAAATACTGGTCCACTAGAATGCAGCTAACAAGAGTCACTTTGTAAACGTCGGTTTTATATTCTTGGATATTCTAACATGAGTGCACATGCACTGCATCAGTGCAACTTCTGTAATGGCATGGCTGAAAGGTCAGTATAACAAAAAT